TCTCTATCTAAATGGGAAGTTGGTGATGAGTAACTTAGCAGTATATTTTCCCCTTATTTTATTTGGGTTGTATAAACCTGCCTTTCAGTCCAAAAGAGTACTGGGTCACATTTAGGTGACACATTTCCTCCAGACATCCTGGAGAACTTCAGGAAGTGGTGGGGATGATTCAGCAGGGGATGTCTTCCTGAACCATGCAGCGATTGGTATTTGGATAGAGTTATTCTTGCCAGGCTGTGAAGAAGTCTTTCCATAATTTATGTGGATGCTCACTCAGCCTTTTCCCAGATGGAAACCAGGCAGAGGATAAGACTAGATGGGAACAAATTTGGAAGATTTGGGGTCCCTGATAAGTCTTTTTCCTGAAGGCTTTATGAGGGTCCTGAAGTGGCCTTAACTTACCAAGGGGAAAGATAAGCATTGGTTAGTTTGGTTCTTTGATTACTTTGGTAAAAAATAGTATTGTGGACTTTTATGTTCCTCATACTCCAGGGTAAGCTCTAATTTTAGAATCAGAAGAATCTTGCAAGTCTATGGAAGTCCATTTATATTCTTATTTTAGGTACTTTGTCTTAAACTGTGCAGAGGTATACTTTACTACCTCTACTTAACATTTCTAACCTACAAACTTTTTGAGATTTCTTTTTATCATCTGTAACTTTTATAAAATTAAAAGTATTATTAGGATAGCACGGAGATTAATGATGCCAGCTCTGCACCCAGATTTCCTGAGTTCTGATCCTGATTTTTCCACTTAATAGCAGTGTGACCTTGGGCAATTATTTAACTACTCTGCCTCCGTTTCTTCATCTGTAATATGGGGAGGATAATTATTTACTTTCCATACTGCATTTTTGCCAGAATTAAATGAATGCATTATTCATTTATTAAAAGTAGAACTGTTAGAATAGTTCCTGGTACATAAGTTCCCAATAAATATTATCTATTGTATTATAAATGAGAAAATTAAAGCAGCTACAGGTTAAGTGACTTAGGAAGTTATCCAACAAGATGACTAAACCAGGATTAGTGTTTATTTCAACATTTAGTCAACTGTGAGTGTATTTAACTGGTCAGCTGTGCTATACTGATGTAGAGACCAGAGGTCAGGAGACTTTTTCTTAAAGGGACAAATCAGTTAATAAATATTTTATACTTTGCAGGACTTAGAGTCTCTTCTGCAGCTACTCAGCTCTCATTATGTCCTTTAGAAGCAGCTATAGACAATATATAAATGAATAGGTATGGCTGTGTTCCAATAAAAGGTTGCTGTTTTTTGCAGACCTCTGCTTCAGATACTTCAGTCATACCTGAATAGAGACTTTGGATTCCATTTAGTTTTTTTTTTTTTAAGATTTTTTTTTTATTCGTTTGAGAGAGAGCGAGAACGCGTGTGCACTCACGAGTGCCCCAGAGCATGAGCAGGGGGGAGGGGCGGGGGTGAGGTAGAAACAGACTCCCTGCTGAGCAGAGAGCTGAACGTGGGGCTTGATCCCGGGACCCCAGGAACATGACCTGAGCCGAAGGCAGACACCCAGACACCCAACCGACTGAGCCACCCAGGTGCCCCTGGATTCCATTTAGTTTTTAAAGTATGAAATAGGTATTATTATAATAAACAATACTTTCACCTCCAAATGATTATGTCTAACATGTTATTCTCACTTATGATGGTCATGCTTTAGAAGATCAAAGGGATTTAGAGAATAAGCAATAGTAGTAAATATGTTTTCCCATCTCAAAGGGATATCCAGCAGTCACTTAATGGTTTGGAGGATTATTCTTAGAATTTGAAATCTGATTTGGGCAAGATGCTAAGGGTTGTTTTATTAAATGAACACAAATAGGGGCGCCTGGGTGGGTCAGTCGGTTAAGCGTCTGCCTTTGGCTCAGGTCATGATCTCAGGGTCCTGGGATCGAGTCCCACATTGGGCTCCTTGCCCAGTGGGGAGTCTGCTTCTCCTGCTCCCTCTGCTGTTTCCTCTGCTTGTGCTCTCTGGCTCTCTCTTTCTGTCAAATAAATAAATAAAAATAAAATAAAACAAACATAAATACAGACTTTTTTGTTGTTGTAGTTAATTTTTGTGTAGGAAAAATGTGTGAGTCAAGTAACAGGCTATTTGTAATTATCCTTGTCATTACACAACAGGTTTTTCTGCTAGGAATGTTGTTTGCATGGGTTTGGATTTTTTGTGGCTTACTTTTCAGTTTAATAAAGTGTTCTTTTTAAATTAAACTTGTCAGTGAACTTCTCTTGTGAGTGGCTGTGTTGGTTAGTTCATATTTATAGCTTACGTCTGTTTCTGAGGAAATGACTAAAGTCTCTTGCATTCGATCAAAACTGTATAACAAAGGACATCTTTGACTTACTTAAACAAGGCTCATGATGGAAACTCAAAAAATCTAATGGTTCATGTTTATAAATGTTTTTATGTATTCAGTCTTGGTTGGTCCAAATAATCAGAGCTCTGTGCTAAGGGAGGGATTGAAAATACTCAGTGTTTCTCAATTGAATGGATTCCTCTGGAGCAAGTTCAGGCAACACTTTCTTACAAGTCTTTAACCTTTTTTATGTTTAGAATTGGGTTTTATAGAATATAGGTATATATTTTTTCTTCTCTTTAAACCATTCCACGGATTTTCTCCATCCTCATTTGTATCCTATAGGCCCTGACCTGTGTGACATCTAAACCTTGCACATGTAATTTCTAGCAAGGAGGCTGATGGGGATTGGAAAGGGGCCCCAGGGATGTAACTGACTCACAGAAACATGCTGTGTCTTGCTCCCTGTGGAGGTCCCTGTTTCCCCACCTCTGGAATATCCTCACGCTCTCCACATCTTAGTCTTGTCCCCTCACTGTTGGTCCCTTCCTCCTGGCAATGTTGGCATCCTTCCTTCTGCTCTTTGCTCCAGGGCAAGAGATGAAGGCAAGGCTAGGCTCCCGTCTACTCAGACCCAGGTTAACCTGTGCTCTGGGACCCTGGCTAGAACTCACATTCCCCCACAAAGGCCCTGCCAGAAATGGTGGTTGGATTTTGCTGTGATTATTGTTCTAGATCAGTTATGTTACACACTTATTGGAGTTTTCTGTGCTGTTAATGTAATCGTTAATTTCAACCCTTTTATGAGCGCTCAAGGAAACCATTTCTCCAACCAAATCTAGGATCTAAGTCTAAGACAAGAGTGAAATTGCTGTGCTGGCTGTCCCACATCACTCCTCCTGCCTCCGTTCTCAGAAGCACCTATGGAGTAGGGTTCCTGCACACTCACTTGGAAAACTGTTGATGAACAGAACTCATTATTTTTGGAGCACACACTAGTCTTAAAATTGGGCTTGCCTATGTATACCATTAATTGCTTAAAGTGCACCTGGATTGGTGTGTCTGTATGGGTTATATATGAAGCCAGCTTTAGGGGCAACCAGATGGAGAGATGCTTACCTGAGTTGAGAGATTTAAGACAGCCTCTATCGCCCATTCATGCCTGAAATTCCATTGTCAGTAATGCATTTTATTTCTGTGTTAAGCACCTGCTTCTTTTGAAGCTCTTTTTCAAAGGAAGATGTCCTTGGGAAAGATATCCATTAAGCCATTTGAACCTTAGCGCTGATCCTGTTGCTTCCCTACTTAATTAAACATCTGGGGTCACTGACTCCTCAAAAGGGTAGATAGAGAAGGAAGGAGCCACACTGCTACTTCATAATTTTGTCTGGGACTGGCTCTGACTATATACACATTTGATAAACCCATGTGAGGTAGCATCTCTAGTATTTAACTTGAAGGTACTTTGCTTTCTTATTTAGATGGAGGTAGTTATGAGGTATTTGAATAGTGAGCACCTCAAAAGGAACTTCTATTCCTAAATATTCCTTTCTACCAAAATATATTTTATTACTGTAATGCGGAGGATATACATGCCCATACATATAGTACTGGGATTTTTTTTTTTTTCCTGAGTATATGTTATTTACAAGAGGTAAGGAAATCAATCAAGTCTAGTTGTAAGTCTAGAACATGGCGTGTATATATTTCTACCATATTGTCTGCATATTGATTTTTTTATTGGTTGATTTCCCCTTTTTTTGATTAATTGATTTCCTTTTTTTTTTTACCTTAATAACTAAATATTGTAAAACTGTGGTTTGTTTACTTACTCAACAAACATTCATAGAGTGCCTAACAAGGGGCAGGTACTTTGTGCTAGAAAAAATGATGGTGGTTTTCTCCTGAAACTCAGGCTTCAAAGAATATTTGAGGTTGTCCAGCAACTGGGAACTAAGGAAGAAATAGAAGAAGGGAGTGCTGGGGGGAGAGGGGAGGAGAAGAAGGGGGAAGAAGGAAAGAAGGATAATTAGAAGAAAGTTAGTTAAATCTGTTAGTCCTTAACACATTTTTTCTTTTTTTAATTTTTTAATTTCTTTTTAATTTTTAAAGATTTTATTCATTTGAGAGAGAAGAGGGAGAGAGAGAGAGCACAAGCAGGGGGAGAGGCAGGCAGAGGGAGAGGAAGAAGCAGACCCCTCCCAGCTGAGCAGGGAGTCGGTCATGGGGCTCAATCCCAGAACCCCAGGATCATGACCTGAGCCGAAGGCAGACACTTAACCGACTGAGCCACCCAGGCGCCCCACATTTTCTTGTTTTTATTTTTATTTTATTTTATTTAAAGATTTTATTTATTTGAGAGAGAGAGAATGAGAGAGAGCAAGCACATGAGAGGGGGGAGGGTCAGAGGGAGAAGCAGACTCCCTGCCGAGCAGGGAGCCCGATGCGGGACTCCATCCAGGGACTCCAGGATCATGACCTGAGCCGAAGGCAGTTGCTTAACCATCTGAGCCTCCCAGGCGCCCCATTTTCTTGTTTTTAATTACACATGTTACCTAGTTTGATGCTCTTTGTTGCTTATAGAATAATTTATCATCTATAGGCTTTATTTTTTTTCCTGGTGTGCTCTAATTTGAAATTAGTTTTAATTAATCTTTTTTATATTTGTTTCTTTTCAGTATAAAAGAATTTTATGGACCAGTTGGCTAATAAGTATGTGGAAGTTTTGAAGAGCTGAAGAAAAAAAATCAGTAGTAGACTTGCTTTTTAAAATGTGAGTAAACTCTCTCTTCTCCATGGTTTATTTCTGATATCTTTAAAGCCTGCAGTTACCTTTCTGTATATTCAGTGTGTAAATTTTTCCCCAGTAGTAAAGTTCCTTGACTATGTCAGTCAACTCATTGAGTCTATGAGAATTGATGACCCACCCCCCTCTTGAAAAGTTTTTTAATTCTCAAAGTACTATAACTAACATAAGTGACTGTAGAATTTAGACGTGTTGTGGCAGTCAGTGGAGCAAATCTGTTTGGCATCGAGAAGAAAAACACAGACCAGGTAGCACATGAAAAGCACCACCCTCTTCTCAAATCCTTTATTTGTCCCTCAGACCATTTCAGTGCCACATCGAAGTCAATGAGAATTGGGTCAACTTGTTAATGACCCTAGAGGCTTAGAAAAATGAGATGTTTTCACATAAGCTTATTTACTCCCTTCCTCCTTGCTACTCTTGTTCAGTAATAATAATAGCACTTAACTATTTATTGAGCATCTGCTAAGTGACAAGTACTTGACTCCTTCAAGTATTTAGTCAACAAATACTTTTTTCTGAATGTCTGCAATGTGCCAGGCACAGCTCTGACACCTTGTATTATTGTCATGGCAACCATGCAAGGTAGGAGTTAAGATTTCAGGGATCTACTTGAAGATCCTGAGGTTCAGAGAAAGGTAGGGAGTATGCTGACGGTCACACAACTGGTAAGTGGCAAAACCTAGAGTGTGACCACGGCGCCAACTTTTTCTCATTGGCCATATCCTAAATGGTGTTTAAAGTGCTCTTCCTGGCCCTGCTTTTGGTAGGAGACTGGAACCTTCTGGGTTGTATTCTTAATAGGAATATGATCCTAATCCTTCTAAACCTTGGCCGTAGTCACAACAAGGAAGGAAATTAGAGAAACATCCTCCCACATTTGAGAGGTAGCTTTGGTGCTTGGATGGGGAGTTAAGAGATACAATGTCCAGTCCCAGCCCTTCCACGGATTTCCTGTGTGTCCTTGAGATAATTTAACGTACGTGGGAAACAATTACTTTTATTTATGCCAACTGAGGAGAGCAGACCAGAAGTTCCCTGAGGTCTCTTTCAGTCAGTTTTTTATGGAAAAATGGAGGAAAGTGCACAAATCTTATTTTTAGTATATGTGCTGCCGAAGCGAGCACGGAAAGTGCACAAATCATAAGTGGATGGCTTGATGGAATAATTGTCACAAAGTGGACACACCTTTGTAACAGCACCCAGATTAATGGAAAATTGCCAGCACCCCAGAACCCGCCTCCTCTAATGCCCCTGGGAATAACCGATTGATTAGCTTTGCCTGTTTAAAAAATTCATGTGAATGGAATCATATACTATATATTCTTTTGTGTCTGGCTGATTTTTCGTATTATATTTGTGAAATTTATCTACAATATTTATAGTATTTTTTCCACTCTCCTTGCAGTCTCAGTATTCAGTTATATATCTGTTTTACAGTTGCTGGACATTTTGGTAGTTATCCAGTTTGGATGAATAACAACACTTCAGTGAATATTTTTGTGCCTATCTTCTGGTGATGATTGTATTTTGTTTGTTCAGGGACTACTCAGTAATTTAGATTCTGCAGATCTGGGGAGGGATGTTGGACGAAATAAATGTCTTTGAAGGCAGACACATTGATTTTAGGTAGCTAGGTGATTTGTTTGCCTCAGCCTGACCGTCTGAGCATGCTAGTCAGGAACAGATGAAGATGTTTTCGCAGATTGCTCTTGAGGGTGTGGCCAGGTGGAACCTTCTCTGCTGTGTGTGGTGTGGGAGGCTTGCTCCCCTCAGAGCAAGGGCTCTGGTTGGATACAGGACGGGGTTACAGAGACGAAGAGAAACTAGATCCAAAAGAGATAGACGTCGGGGCTACCCTAGAAATCATTAAGATATCTCGTCAGCCAGATCAAGAGCTTGGAAAACTGACAACCTGGGGGAAGAATCTCTGCCGTGAGACCTAGAGAGTTTGCGGAGATGAATAAAGAAATAAATATTGATCCAGGCAGGCAGGCTGAATCTCAGAAGGAGCTCTCAAAGCATTTTCTGAACAAATTTACTCTGATTTTGTCAAATTTCTTTTTAAGTCTAATTTTCTTTTAAGGAAGCTTGGAAAAACCAGTCCTTAATGTATGAATCTTGAGCCAAGATGGACTTAATCAGTAGAATTACCAGACTGGGGGGAAAAATATGTATTTTCAAACAAGTGGGCCTGGGGGCCTTGCTGTGTGGCCATTCTGTGTTGTCACAGCTCCACTGCTTTCTTTTCCCACGATCTCTCGAGATTAGCTTGTCCTCTGTAAAACAGGGGTATTAATGTGCCGATCTGATAGGTTTGCTGAGACCGTTCGCTGCTGTAGCACTAAGAATAATAGTCATTATTCCTACTATTTTTCTGAATCTTATTATGGATGTTGCCTGTTTGACTCTGTATTTATAGGAGTTTTCAGGTAATTTCTTTTAAAATATAAGACTAGTTTCTTTTTTAAGTATGGTGAAACTAATAAATATTTTCCTACTTGCCCCGCTTTAAACTGAAATCAGAGGGAAGATGAAAGGAAGTGTTTGTCCATGGGTTCTTGGCAGGTCCCTCCCCAGGCTGAGTCAGTGAAGACACCCTTGGTTGTTGGAGCTGCTTTACTCGGTTAGTTCAAGAAGAGGCCGGTGGAGCTGAGAGTCATGGGGATGTTGGGTCATTTTGCACAAAGGAAAATCATAATTTTGTTTGAGAAAAATTGACTTTCAATTCCTGCAAGGCATTTTGCAAACAAGTTACTGGAGGGCTTTGGTGGGAGTCTCTGTGGGTGATTTACTTTTTTTTTTTTTTTTTTAAGATTTTATTTATTTTATTTGAGAGAGATTGAGAGAACGAGTGGGAAGAGGAGCAGAGTGGAGAAGCAGAATCCCTGCAGAGCAGGGAGCCCGATGCGGGGCTCGATCCCAGGACTCTGGGATCCTGACCTGAGCTGAAGGCAGACACTTAACTGGCTGAGCCACTCAGGTGCCCTCTGTGGGTGATTTACTACACACCACCACACCCAGTATAGGGGACGCATCCTAACTGGTTGGGGTTGGTGAATCTTTTCACCTGTTAGTGATTCTGAACTAGCTGTTGGGGCACATGGTGTAGATTAAGCTCAGTTTTGCCCTCGGTGAGATTATGATCAAACAAGTGAATAATCTAGTGTTCTGAAAAGAAAACTTTTAGAGTGACTTGACCAAAGAGAACATTCTGAAATTCTAGTTCTGACTTTTCTACTAACTAGCTATGGCACTTCCGCTCTATCATTTACCATGGGCCTCAGTTTCTTTGTCTATCAAATCAGGAAGCTAATTTAGATTGGCGTTTTGAGGCAGAGTGGGGTTCTGTGAATTCTCTAAATGTAATACCTAGTTTTGGGTGTATTTGTGTTTTTCTAAGTGCTAGATTCTTTCACAGGTTCATCCCAAGCCAGAAGTTCCTTTGACCTCAGATTTTGGTACTTAGGAAAGTGGGGTGGGTAAAGGAGTGGTTTCAAGATATGACCTAAGTTCACAAAATAGTTAGTGTCCACAGCAGATAAAAAATTAAATGACCAGAGTCTTGTGACTGACTTAAGGCTATATGATTGTATTTAGATTTATTTTCACACCATTTGCTTTAATGAGCTCTAATACACATGCTGTGTTCATTAAAGGGTGTGTATATTTATATATAAGCTACATAAATAAATGTATTTAAGTAAATGGCATAGCTGGATTACGAAAGCTGTACTTGGCCTTCTCTCCTATCTGTTTAAATTCTCACTTCCCACATGACACAGTTGGGAGTGTCCCACCCAAAACTGGATTTGTTTTGTTGATCCAGACATCAAAGCAAATGTTAATTTAAAAACATTTGGTGATTGTCATAGAAATGACATTGGATTAATAAAATAAGAATAAATAGCAAATCGTGTTATTACTTAATTATTACTTTTAAGTTCTGACCTCTGTCCTCTTATACCCAGGGGAATCTACATGAAGCTGATGCAGGAGGACATATAGGGAAGAATTAAACTAAAAACTTTGGGATGTTTGTACTTCAGTCATTTAGATGTTCTGGCAATTGATAAACAGAAGAAATAGCATTTGCCTCAGAGCGCAGGTAACACCCTTGTCTCTCCATTGTGTTCATGGTTCTCGAGATCTCGGGTGGTGGTGGCGAAAGCTGTCTGGTTCTACCGCTTTGGAGGCTGAGTGGACACAAGAATAAGGTGGGGCCTCTGGTCTGGCTTTGTTGCTGCCTTCCCTTCTTCAGGCTGAGGAAGGCCGTGGGACTGTCCGGGTCATTACTCAGGCCTGCTTATGTCATCATTCCACCTTGTCATGTAGTGGGGTTTTTTGGATTTTGTTTTGTTTTGTATTAGATTTTATTTATTTATCTGAGAGAGAGAAAGAGATCGAGAGAGAGCACGAGCAGGGGGAGGGATAGAGGCAGAGGGAGAAGCAGACTTCCCACTGAGCAAGGAGCCCGATGCGGGACTCTATCTCAGGACAGTGGGATCATGACCTGAGCCGAAGGCAGACGCTTAACTGACTGAGCCACCCAGGCGCCCTCATGTAGTGGGTTTTGAGCAAGCATTTGGCGTCCCAAAGAAAAGCAACCCCCATAGCTCTGTTCCTCTGGGCCGTCTTTGTCCATACCCTGGTAATCTTTTTCACTTTAATTATCATACGGGGGTCAAAGTTTTCTGTCTCCCGACTGCCTTTTGTGGACCAAACATTTCCTATTCTAGGTAAATTCCTAGTACACATTCTCAAAGTGCTGCTGGGAGTTGGTGATCTTACTTGGAATCGTGTCACATATGTGTTCTGTCTTGAGCTTTATTGGTTCATTATAACTTGAGGCAATCACGTAAATGAATTTCCATTATGAGACTTACAAAAGATTTTTTATTTCCATTTCCCCCACCCCCTCTAGTCATCTCTCCCTCTTCCACCAAGTATCTAGGATCTCCTTTACAATCAAAGGGAGGTGTGGTTGGGCCTTTAGAATTCTGCCTTTTGGCTAAGATCAAGTGTAGAACTCTGCCTTTAAGCAGATGCTTCCTTTGTGTGTGAGGGTGTGGATGGAGTTTGAGGGCAACTTGAAGCTCTTTGCTCGACTGGGCCAAAGCCACAGCAGTCTTTTTATTCTTAGTTGCTTTGTTTTCTCCCCACCCCTGAGGAAATTGGCAGTTAGTGACTTTGATTTTTTTTCTCCTTGATACAGATATGCAAGGGTGCAACTGTAGACAGAGAAAAAGGAAATGTTTACACATTTAGCAAATAATCAAAATACGTGGAGGGTGTGTGTGCGCACATGCCTTTGGCTCCATAGCGGGACAGGTGGTGTGTTTTTCTTTCAAGTGCTATGCATGTATGTATTTAATTAGAAGCACTTAGCACTTCTGATAGTACTTAGGCATATAGTCTCAGCAGTTTTTTAAGAAGGAAGAGGGTCCTAGGGAACTTTGACTCTCATGTAGTGGATCTGTGGGTTAATATTATGGCATTTTTTGAAAAGCATGGTTCTGGCCCCAGAATTTCAATCAGCCAAGGCTCTCCATGGTTTAGGGAGCAAGGACGTGGGAGAAGGGATTTCAGTAGTTCTTAAATCTGTAATTTAGCAGTAGCTCAAGGCTTTGTGCATCATGATCAATGAAGTGAGGCTGTGTCCCCAGGGTGTGTTCTGTGTTCCTTGAATACCAAGATGCTGCCCTGTGCTTGACAAGGCACAGCCCTGAGCTTGTTCAGTCAAGAGGAGACTTAAATTAGGGGTGTGGTAATTTACAGCCATTGTAGGAGGACCCATTAGTCTTTAGGCAAAAAGTAAAACATGCTATCTCTTGAGATTATGGTAGCTTTCAGAGCTCGAAATAGCCTCGACAACTTCCTATGACCATTACCTTGAACTGAGGTATAATCCCTCGCCAATGACTGATTTGTCAATACCATGCATTAATTATATTTGTCTTCTGTGTTTTAGTTTGTATTTCAAAACACAAATTGTCACTGTACCATCAGCTTTTCCTATTTTTGTTTGTTTTTACTTTATTCCTTACATTTGTGGTAGTAGTTCTGTGCTTGGTTTTAGATACATAGACTATTTGATACTGTGATATTAAGAGATTTTAGAAGAAAAGGTCATCAGCTGTCTTTCTGAACTATTCTGGGCATTTTGTACTATATTTATTTTGGGTCCAGCTTTTCCTGCCCTTGATTTCTGATTAGCTGTTCCTCCTCCTTGCCTTGGCCTCTCATCTTGCTTGGAAGCTTTTCAATAGGTCTGAACTTGGATGACTGTTTTGTTTAACAAATAAACACGATGTCAACCTTGGGAGAGAGGGAGACACAGGATGGAACTTTCCATGAATGCTTCTGGTTCTAATGCATGGAATTTCTGGAGCTGGGTCGTCAGCTTCCAATACGACGGTGTCCGGAAGTTGTTTCCTGCTCGAGGGGATTAGCTTTTACAAAGGGAAACGTGAATCCTGGGGCGTTTGCAGAAGTTTTGGATGATTTGTGGGATTTATAGTGTCTTGCAATTAGTAAATTTTTAAAATTAAAAAATGGATTATTTGCGTACAGAAGGGGGCTTTTTGGTTCTTCATAGTGGAAATGGGTCCTGAGTGAGGTCTGGTGTACAACACCCCTTTCTGAGCCTTGCACCCAGATGGAGCCTCTTGTGTTGTTGGGATAGTGAAAAAAACAAGTGTCAAGCAGGAAATAAATGGCCTTCGAGGAGGAGCAGACCTTCAAATGTAAGATTTCTCCCAACAGAAAATAGTGACACCCCAAACACCTATTTACATTGACCCACCCACAGCACCCCCTAGCCTGTTGGCCCTTTCTCTGGCCTCCCCTTGTTAGCCAGAGCAGCAGGCACTTCTCTGGGAGTCTGTGTCCGAGTAATTCTAGAGGGACAGAAAATACCCACTAATTCTACTGGAGTGTTGTAGGATTCAGAATGTGGTTTCCTTTTCCTCCCTTTGTGGCCCTCCTGAATCCTCAGAAGGTGGCCGCTGAAAAAAAATCGATGTGTTATGTGTGGTTGGTTGGTTGTACTCTTTACCTGATAGAATACAGTCAATTCTTGTTATTTGTAGTAGTTACAACGTTCTATAAACTCACCGCAAATACTGAGTTAGTGAATACTGAACCATTGGTTAAACCATGGTTTAACCAACTTAAATCATGTATAAGTTTAGGTTCCTGTGAGCCTCTGTCACAACATTTTCTCAGTTGATCAATACATAGCCTTGTTTCTTTTTTCTTGTTGTTGTTTTAAAGATTTTACTTATTTGAGAGAGAGAGAGAGATGATGAGCAGGGGGGAGGAGGAGAGGGAGAAGCAGACTCCCCACTGAGCAGGGAGGCCGATGTGGGACTCGATCTCAGGACCCTGGGATCACGACCTGAGCTGAAGGCAGACGCTTAACTGACTGAGCCACCAAGGCGCCCTCCATAGCCTTGTTTCTGTTTTAAGGCACCTTATTTAATATTGTTGATTCATTAGCATTGAACTCACAATCAAGAGCGCTGTAACCCATGCCTGAACAGAGCTTATCTAACGTGTTTATAGTATAGTATGAAACACATGTTTATAGTATGAATGCTAATCTGAAACAAGGCAGAGCATTGCCTTGTTCCACCTCAGCTGGGACCATGCTCGCAGGCCACTCAAATGTTTTGCTGCTCTGTGCATGTCCATGAATGTCCATTGAAAACACCGCTCATATTGATTTTGGGGTTACAAATGAATTTTGGCGAGTAGGCACATCCACAAATACCTATTATGTAACATAAGCAAAGTAATCCCAATTATTGCAGCAGGAACCCTTTTCAGTCCAGCTCTGTAGTTCATGTACCAAACTAATCATTTAAGGTAAAAAAATTGAGTTACAAGTTGGTATTGTGACCATTACCCAGAATACATTTTTAAACAGCCTCGTGTAAGATGAAGACCGTTACGGACAGCTTGCCCAGTTGGTCATTCCTGTTGTTGAGCAAATGACAACACTTCTGCCAGGCTTTGAACACCTAGAGGAAAGGAACAATGTCTTGTGTATCCCCATGTCCTTGGCCTGGAAGATGATAATGGCAGGCACATGGTGGAACCCCAGTGAGGGAATGGCTACTAAAATGAACAGATGAATGAAAGAGCAAGGAGAAGTCTGCTTGGTAATGCGTGATAGTCTACTTCGGGGCACCTGAAGAGTCTGATGCATCTTTTCAGCTTAGATAATGTCCTGTCTCCTGCGTTTATTAAATTAACTCATGTAAATGCTTACTAATTATCAGAGAAAGTAGTGTCTAGGAGCTGATGTAGCACGGAGGGTGTTGCAGCTGGCCTGAGAGAGGAAGAGCAGGACCGCCAACCATACTGAGAAAACTACTTAAGGGCTAAAACTGCATTTTAGTCCTTCTTCCATCTCACCATGCAGTCTGGCTGGCCGTTTTTTCTTTTCTTTTTTGCTCTTATTCCTACTGCCAGCTTCTCTCCTCTTCAGGCCCATTGCCACACTGCTGTGATTAGAAACCTTTCTAGAACATGGATTTAATCATCTCAGTAGCTTGCTTCAAAATCCCATTCTCCCCAGAAGATACAATTTAGAACTCCTTCGTGATCTGGCTTCCATCCCAGCACGCTTCCGATTTCTGTCCCTTACCACCCTGTGCTCAAGCGAAGCTGCACTTTGCACGGTTTGCCACGCATGCCTTTTAGGACTTTCGCTTTTGCATAGGCTGTTCCCTTTGCCAGTGTTGTCTGCTCCTTCTCCCAGATCTTCCCCTTTGCTGTGTCTGGCAAGATGCCCATCCCCCCGACAAGTATGAATCCTTCAAGGGAGGGGTCTATCTAACCATCTTGGTGCGCAGCCTCTAGCACGTTATGTTCAGTAAGTGTATTTGAATGGGTGAATGAATCTAAACATTATCTGGAGGGTTTGGAAATATGAAGACTTCAAAAAAAATCTTTTTGAAAAAAGGGATAGTAGAGTGTCAGTATCTACTCAGACAAATGGAAAGATGTGACCGTTCACTAGCTTTGTCTGTTGTACAAAACTGAGCTTTTCCACTCGGGGAACATCTACACTATGCCACGCTCCCTGGCCCCCAATATAAA